GCGGACCTACTGGAGGAGGCAGCCGACCTCCTGGTGGTGCACCGGGACTTCGCGGCCGCGCTGGACGCCTGCGACCGCGCGTGGCGGTGCCTGGGCCCCGCCGCCCCCGAGGAGCCAGCGAGCGCGTACGTGCACGGCCGGGTGTGGGCGGGCGCTCGCTGGGGCCCCGGGAGTTAGGCGTTGTCTGCCCGGGTAGTTCACGGGCAGCCTTGGGCCTCGCCTCGGTGAGTGGGTTCTGGAGGCTGGCAGCCGCCCTGAGCCCATCCTACAGGGGAAGAAATGCACTGCGCAGTGAAGTGGGCGAGGCGTGGAACCGAGCGCGGTAGGACCCTACAGCCGGTCCCGGCTTCCCGCTCGGAGGGGAACCGTGCGATGCTGTACGTGAGTGCGTATTGGGCGCCGACTCCGTCGGCAGGTGGTGGGAGTCCTCGCCTACTTTGCACTTGCCTTCCAGGATAGAGAGGGGCGCGGTGGGCAGCCACCCGCTCGCCTAAGTGGCTTGCAGGAACTTTGAACTCCCGGAGGAAGGTCTGCCCTTGAGACCCTCGTGAGGGCCAGCTGATCACTGACGGGAGGACAGGTGGCAGGAAAGCTCCAGTGGAGCAAACCACTTGCATTCCTAACCGGCCCTTCCTCTGACAGCTCCTCGGAGGTGAAATGCGCCCTGTGCGTTGTGGGGATCCAGGCCCTGGCTGAAATGAATCGCTGGCGAGAAGTCCTCTCTTGGGTCCTTCAGTATTACCAGGCCCCGGAGAAGCTGCCCCCCAAAGTCCTAGAGCTGTGGTAGGCCCTGTGGCTCACCCATATGTCCAGGAGCAAGGGGGTTTTCTGTGCTCCTGAATCGGGTCTGTTGTGTCCTCTTTTCCCTTCCCTGCCATCTCCTCCAAATCGGGTCCCTCCTCCCCACCTTCAGATCTGAGAACTGCAATGAAGGATGTGGCTGGGGAGATGAGGGGTGGCCAGAGGTCAGGAAAGGGTCCACAGGAGGGAATAAGTGAGGTGGGATGACAGAAGCAAACGGGACTGGGGGCTCCTGGAGTTCCTCGTCCTTGGCAGGGTCAGCACCCACAGGGAAGCTGGAGGGCTCAGGTGGGGAGGCACAGTGGTTATAAGGAATGGCCTGACTGGAACACTGACTCCTGTTTTGGGATCTCATTCTTGGGCCTGCAGCGTTCTTCTCTACAGCAAAATGCGAGAGCCTGGGGCCGTGGTGGACATGCTTGGTGCCTGGCTCCAGGAGCCAGACAACCAGAGCCTTCCAGAGTATGGAGGCTTGGCGGAACTCCACCTGCAGCGGGTGCTGTTGCCTCTGGGCCGGCTGTCTGAGGCCGAGGAGCTGGTGGTGGGCTCTGCAGCCTTTGACAAGGAGCAGCGGCTAGGTGTCCTGCAGGCCATCCAAGCAGCAAGGCAGCAGCGGACACAGCAGCGCTCCGACTCCCAGGAGGCCCAGGAACTAAGCCAGGAAGGTAGGGCCTCTGCGGCCTCTGTGGGCTGGAGGGGTTTGAAGCTCCTCCTACACCTCAGGGCACCCCTGGCCTTGTTGGGAGTGTGCAGTAATCCTTCCAGTGAATGGCTCCCGGATCACAGAATAGGAAACCTGTTGGTCTACTGTACAAAACCAAGCCCAGTCTCCGAAGCTTACAGCACAAGGGGATTCTCCTATGGCAAGGCATGGCTGGGTCTCAGAAGAGCACCTTCCCCTTGGGGGCTAACTAGGCATCTTGTTGGGGGATGCTCTCACTAGATTTCTTTCTTCCCCATGCAGACCTCACCGTGCAGGCCCGGGTGGGGTGTTACCCCCTCCTTTAAGAGATTTGTCTGGGGCTAGTCACAGGAAAATAGGAAGCTAGCATGGTAACTCAGGAATCTGCACTTGGAGGGAGGAATTACTCCCTCTGGGAGACCCTTCAGCTCGGGCCTCCCGCCCCGCCTCCTGTCTGCTTTTACCCTGGGCCTTTCACTGTTCTTCACTGGTTGATGTGCACCCTTGACTGCCAGAGGGCACTTTCCAGCCAGCCTCTGTAAGGAAGCCGAGGCCCCAAACTACACCCAGCCGGCATCACATGAGGGGTACCTGCGCGGTGGTCGAGGACGTGGGGCTTGCTTTTTCATGAGGGGACCGTCAAGATCCTCTGCTCTGGGTCCTCCCCTGGCCCCTGAATCCTTTCAGCTGCGTTAGGTCTCGGGGCATACGTCCACAGAGAGGACACTCCCTGTCTCCTGAGGCAGCGCGTGTCTGTGGGATGGAAAGAGGGAGGTTCCTCCTTCTGCGGAGGATACATTTCTCTGGACAGGTAGCATTCATGTGTATAGTCCCAGTCCAAGACTTGAATTCTTCACCATGTGTGTTCAACGCCCTTCATGTCCCTGCAGTCATCGAGCTGTTGCCCCGGGTAACTGCATGCGTGTTAGGCCAACATGCAGAGGACGCTCTAAAATAATGAGGTCACTAGGAAAGATAGCATGTGTGCCAGGTGTCCCCAGCTGCATAGGTCTTGTCTGTCACAGGAGGTCGTAGTCTAATAAGATAGTATGTTTTTAAAATAGTTTTGGAGCTTTTGGAATTGCTTGGGACCCACTTTCTTTTTTTCTAATTTTTTTTATTTTAATTTTTTTGTATATATTCAATCACATTATTTAGCTTACAAAGTGAACATTTCAATATGTGAACATTTCTCCCCAGTCCAGTTGATCAGAATATCTTCCACCAATAACACCACACCTCCCCATCCTGTCAGTGCTCTGCCTCCGTATCCGTCCTCCAAATGTCCTTCCTTAGGTCCCTCTTCTCCACACACATCACTTCTGGCACTAACCCCCTGCTCTTGTGTTTGTACAACCTTGGGTCAATCAGTTTCAGTCATAGAGTGCAGATACTCGGTATATATTAAGTTGGACCCAGTTTCTGAGCCACGTGAGAAAGTCCTTCTCATCACCTTTTGCTGGACTCTCGCAGTTAAGCTCAGAGCTCCCCTCAGGGAGCAGGTCTGTCGTGCCCTGAAGTTCTGCTCTGCCTTCCCACCCAGGCTCTTCCCACCCGTTCCTGTCCCTGCTGATGTTGCTTCGCCGGCTTTGGGACTCTGCAGTCAGCTACTACTTTTCCTTGCCCTTCAAAAAAAGCCTCCTGGCCGCCTTGATCCTGTGTCTCTTGGTAGTGAGGCTTGACCCAGGTGAGTGGCGGTGCCTGCCTCCCCTCCCACCCTTCCTGGGGGGCTGGGCCTATGGGGCTCTCCCATCCGAGATGCCCTCCCATCGAGTGGGGTACTGGCCTGGGCGTTTCTCTCTGAGTTTGTTCCACAAAGAGGAATTTCCGGGCCTGAGCCAGAGGCAGCCCCACCTGGCCGAAGAGCACAGTCCCCAGCCCACAGAGTCGTCTGGGGAGAGTCCGCTCTGCCCGTGGAGCCTGAGCCCTGGCTGAATCGATCAGTCATGTACTTTATGTCGGGGTCAAATCTGGCTAGAACCTCAGAATTAAAATCTTCCGGGGCCAGCAGGCGGTGTGGACTCCTCCCTGACTGACCATGGTTTGGATCCTGGATCTGGCAGCTTGAAAATCACACTGGGCACATGTGCATGAATACCCAAAATCCCAGGAGGGGACAGGGTTGTGGCATGGCTATCCACCCCGGGGGGTGATTTCTCTCTGTCTATCTCTCTGTCTCTCTCTGTCTTTCTGGCAAGCACACGTGCCCTATAGCAAAAACCTCTCCAAAAAAAATAAATAAATAAAAAATTAAAAGCGAAAGAAAGGGAGATATATTTCTTATAAAACAAGATCAATAATTCAAAAAAGGAAAACAGACATATCCAGTAGATTTTACTTCATGTTCAATGTAATTAACTCATGATAAAGATAAGTAATACTGGGGCCAGCAGGTGACGTAGTGGTCACGGCGCTGGACGCCTACATGGTCTGCCACGGTTTGAGTCCTGGACCTGGTGGCTTGAAACTCACTCTGGGCGTGTGCCCAAAATCTCAAGTTATATATCTAAAAATTAGATTAAGATGTAATAAATTTGGATTTTTTTATTTAGCAAATTTAAGGTCAGTGTATTTGTGAAGAAAATAAATTTCAGAGAAGATATCCTAGAGAAAGTAAAATTCATCACTATTGAGGAGGATCCAAGTAACATAAAGCACCAAAACATGCTTTAAAGTAGTCACATACTGGGGTCAGCAGGTAGCATAGTGGTCGGGTGCTGAACTTCATGTGGTGGACTGAGGTTTGAGTCCCGAACCTGATGATTTTCTTTCTCGCACCCCCCCTCCCCGCTCCCCCGTCTCTCGGGTGAGTATATGTGCCTATAGTAAACTTTAAAAAAAAAGAACAAATAAGTAATTTTTTAAAAAGTCAGACGTCCACCCAGGGCGATAGTCCCTATGGGATGGTGAGGAGTAGAGGGAGTAAGAGGGTGGAGGAGGGCAGAGGGTGGAGGGCACCTGGGAGGGGGTGGAGTGAGGAGGAGGGCTGAGGAGGGTGGAGGAGGGTGGAGGGCACCTGGGAAGGCGTGGAGTGAGGAGGAGGGCGGAGGACAGGGGAGCACTCACCAGCCTCCTTTCCCTGGCAGCCTCTCCGTCTTCCTTGCCCTTCCTCTACAAGCTGGTGCAGCTCTTCCGTTGGATGCAGAAGGCCATGTTTTCTCGCCTCTACTAGCCCCCATCCACGGCCGAGTGGTCTCATTCACCTCCCCTGCCTGCTCTCCTGTGAAGCCAACCTCCTCATCCACGTGGCCTAGTCCTTGTTACCAGCTAGGCCCTGGGGAACCAGAAGGAGCTGGCCTGTCTGAATCCCTCCCCTCTACAGCCCACCTTGGCAGGCCTGGCAGATGACGTGGAAATAGTGGACCGGAGGGCGTGTCCCCTTCAGAACACCCCCTCCACCCAGGGGCTCTGTCCAGAAGGGCTGGAACAGGGAGTGTGTCCATGAAACACTCCATCTTCTCGGCAAGGGCCAGGGGTTGTTTCAGGTCAGGGTGCTCATGGAGCTGGAAGTTCAGGAAGACGGTGGGGAGGTGACCTTGGCCTCAGTTCCTTGAGAAGCATACCTCTGAAAACCACCCGGGCGGCACCTCTCTGCCAGGGTGGGGAGATCCGAGGGCCGCCGTCTCTTCCACCCTCTCAGTGGACCTCGTTAAGGAGAATCCTTGCATGCTCCCATGTCCTGCTGTGGGCTCCGAGCCCACACTGTCAGACTGGGCAGGGCTCTGGAACCACCAGGCGACTATCAGAGCAGGGGAGGCTGCTCGGCCCTTATCACAGGTAAAGTGATCTCACTCAGTGCCTTCTTGGTTTTGAGCTCAGCTTTCCCTGCTCTGTGACACGCCACGTCTGCCCTTCCCTCCCAGCTTCTCCCTCCCACCCAGCCTGGGCCAAAAGCTGTTTGCTGACCAGGGCTCTGCCTGTGTCCTCGCCTCCTTGGCAGACGCTGTGGCAGGTGCTGCCCTCTTTCTATGGCTGCTGTCCCAGTTATGTTCTGTGCTTTGTGTAATGCCCAAGCTCTTCTGCTCACGTGGCCTCGAAAGTAGGCCAGCCTTAGGCTGGAACTGGGTAATCAGGCGAGTTGGAAGGGCAGTGGGGGCTGGGAGTGGGGGACTGAAGGCAGTGACCCATGAGACCCAGGGAGGAAGCAGGTCGGGTCCGAGGAGTGGAAGTGTTCCAGCGGCTTTTCTCAGTGGCCACGAGGATCTTTGCTGTTCCTTTGAGTGGATGGGAAGTGGTGCTACGCTCCCAGAATCATGGGGGGCTTCCAGCAGCCGAAGGTCTAGCTAGCTGACACCCGTGGGGACCTCAGCAGTGTAGGCACTGAGAATGGGGTGCTTGCACGGTTTGGGTGGCTCGTTGTCAGGGGTCTCAAGTCAACAACTTCTCTTTGGAGTGAATGTCCGAGGCTCTTAGATGAGTCCCCAGGGTACGGTTCAGCTCTGTAGAAAACACCATCCTGCGTTTTCATATGGGCTTTCAGACTTGGCCCCCAACCCTAGGAAGGGAATGGATGGCAGGAAGGGCACTGTCCCCGCGGCAGAGCGACTGCGCAGTGAAGACCTGGTCCTTTTCACTGCCTGGATAAAACTCGCCAATGGCCTCTGTAGTCCACAGGATAAACCCTGAACTACAAGGTCCCTTAGGCCCTGGGTGGGGGCGCTGGCCGTGTGGCGGGGCCTCCACTCCCATGCCCTGCCTTCAGCTGCCCTCAGGCCTCTGTGCCTTCGGCTCATGCTGTTCCTTCTCTGCCTGGCGAGTTCCTCAGCCTCCCAGACTCCCTTCCGGGTTTCTTCTCTGAATCTCACCACCCCCTGCCACTGCTAGGCCCTGACCCCACAGCCTTGTGACTGAAATTGTTTCCTCCAGTGACCAAGAGCTCTTTGGAGGTGGGGCGCATGCCCCTTGAGGTTCAGGGCTCTGTTGCCACCCAGGGGACTCAGATGGTGGTCCGACATTCTCAGCCTCAGGGTTGCCTCCCTAAGGTACTTTATAGGGACCTCTGGGCAAGTCAGTGAGGCTGTGCTGAAGTGCTGCAAGTTCTCACCCCAGGTGGAGCTCTGGGGCCTGGCTGCTGTCCCCGGCATGGCTGGTCCTCAGGGCCCTGTGGAGCACTGGGGCAGGAGGTGCTCAGACATATCCCTTAGGGGATGGATAGATGGACATGGCAGGAGGCCTCTGTCCTTGAAGTGACTGGAGTTTCGTGCTGTGAAAACTCCGAACAGAAAGAAGACTGATTGTACCCAGTTCCTTTCTCTGCTGTCCCCGAAGGTCCTGAGGACGTCGTGCTTGCAGCCCCAGGGGCCTGTCTTCTGGGCTTGCCCTGCACTGTGGTGCGCCCGTCAGCAGCACAGCTGCCTGCCTGGTCAGGCCAGGGGCTAGGAGCCAGACCTCTGCTGACCTTGACCTTCACGAGGCGTGGGCTGGTGCTCAGGGCAGCTCTAGTTCTGGGCTTTCTGAGGTCAGAGGTGAAGGGAGGCCTTCCTCGTGTGATGTAGGCTCGTGCCGTCAGTCCAGCACGAGAGCCATTGGCCGGCTGTGGCTTTTGAGCACTGGAACGTGGCTAGTCCAAGTTGCGATGCTCTGTAAATGTAAGATACACAGCGGATTTCACTCGGGACTAAGGAAGAATGGAAGCTCAGTCATTTTTTTTAATATTGATTTTGTATTTGTAATATTTTGGATATATTGAGTTAAATAAAATCTATTATTGAGATTAATGTCATCAGTTAGCGTAACGGCTATGTCGCTGGACTCCCACATAGTCGACCGCGGTTCACGTCCCAGACCCGGTGGCTTAAACTCACGCTGGACGCATGTGCGTGCGTGCCCAAGATCCTGAGAGGAGAACGGAGGAGAAGGGATTGCGGCGTGACCATCCCCCCCTGGGGGGTGATTTCTCGCTTTCTGTCTCTCTGTCTGTCTGGGGAGCGCACAAGCCCTATAGCAAAAACCTCTTAAAAAAAAAAAAAGATTAATGTCATCTGTTTCTTTTCACTTTTTTGAGTGGGCGCCCAGGATATTTGCAGTTGCACTCATGGCCTATGTTTCTGTTGGTGCTGTTCAACACGCAGCGCCCTCGGGTTTGTCCCGTTGGCGCATGTGCAGCCGCCCCTTCTTGGCTGTGCATTAGTCCATTTTATGTTAAGGACACAAAGTTTATACCTGGTATCCTTTTTTGTAATTTTTACTTTTTATTTTTCAAAGTTTATTTCTTCCACGAATGAGAGACAGAGCCAGCACCCCTAGAAGTGTCTCGACGCTGTGTTCTACCCCCCTCAGCCAGCTCTGGACTGTGGGCACCCTCCCTCCTCAGGGAGGCCTCCGGATATGAGCCCAGAGCCTGGGACCTTCCCATGTGGTCACTTCACAGAGCACTGCATTTACTGCTGCGCCACCACTCAGCCTCCCTCTTGCCTTTAAGTGTGTTGAAATCGTTGCACCCTTCGCCAAACTGAGGAGTGCATTGACCCCGGGTTCAAGATGAACAGGTGTAGTCATCCCTCTGGACACTGCCTGCCTGGCAAACACAGCAGGCTGACTACAGCTTCAGTGGGCAGGCGGCAGCAGGCCTTTTCACATCCAGACTTCAGTTTGTTTCTAAATATGGGATGGCACTCAGGCAGCCTGTATCCTATTAAAACAGCCAGAGGAGGGGCCAGCAGGTGGTGTCATATTTAAGGCGCTGGACTCCCACAGGGCCAGTTGCAGTTCAAGTCCCGTGCCGTCTGTCCAGCACGAGAGCCATTGGCCGGCTGTGGCTTTTGAGCACTGGAACGTGGCTAGTCCAAGTTGCGATGCTCTGTAAATGTAAGATACACAGCGGATTTCACTCGGGACTAAGGAAGAATGGAAGCTCAGTCATTTTTTTTAATATTGATTTTGTATTTGTAATATTTTGGATATATTGAGTTAAATAAAATCTATTATTGAGATTAATGTCATCAGTTAGCGTAACGGCTATGTCGCTGGACTCCCACATAGTCGACCGCGGTTCACGTCCCAGACCCGGTGGCTTAAACTCACGCTGGACGCATGTGCGTGCGTGCCCAAGATCCTGAGAGGAGAACGGAGGAGAAGGGATTGCGGCGTGACCATCCCCCCCTGGGGGGTGATTTCTCGCTTTCTGTCTCTCTGTCTGTCTGGGGAGCGCACAAGCCCTATAGCAAAAACCTCTTAAAAAAAAAAAAAGATTAATGTCATCTGTTTCTTTTCACTTTTTTGAGTGGGCGCCCAGGATATTTGCAGTTGCACTCATGGCCTATGTTTCTGTTGGTGCTGTTCAACACGCAGCGCCCTCGGGTTTGTCCCGTTGGCGCATGTGCAGCCGCCCCTTCTTGGCTGTGCATTAGTCCATTTTATGTTAAGGACACAAAGTTTATACCTGGTATCCTTTTTTGTAATTTTTACTTTTTATTTTTCAAAGTTTATTTCTTCCACGAATGAGAGACAGAGCCAGCACCCCTAGAAGTGTCTCGACGCTGTGTTCTACCCCCCTCAGCCAGCTCTGGACTGTGGGCACCCTCCCTCCTCAGGGAGGCCTCCGGATATGAGCCCAGAGCCTGGGACCTTCCCATGTGGTCACTTCACAGAGCACTGCATTTACTGCTGCGCCACCACTCAGCCTCCCTCTTGCCTTTAAGTGTGTTGAAATCGTTGCACCCTTCGCCAAACTGAGGAGTGCATTGACCCCGGGTTCAAGATGAACAGGTGTAGTCATCCCTCTGGACACTGCCTGCCTGGCAAACACAGCAGGCTGACTACAGCTTCAGTGGGCAGGCGGCAGCAGGCCTTTTCACATCCAGACTTCAGTTTGTTTCTAAATATGGGATGGCACTCAGGCAGCCTGTATCCTATTAAAACAGCCAGAGGAGGGGCCAGCAGGTGGTGTCATATTTAAGGCGCTGGACTCCCACAGGGCCAGTTGCAGTTCAAGTCCTGGACCTGTCCTCTGGAAAATTATGCCGAGCATGTGTGTATGCGTGCCCAAAATCCCACCCAGGAAGAGAATGGAGGAGGAGAGACTGCAGTGTGGTCTTACCCCCCAACCCTGGGAGTGGTTTCTCATTTTCACTCTCACTGTGTCTGTTTCTCAGCTGAGTGCATGGGCCCTATGGCAAAAACCTAAAAAGTAAAAATAAAAGCAAGCCGGAGGACATGGCCCAGGCCTGCCATGAACAGCAAATCGGGCACCCACCTCTGACCTCACCTGTTTTCTGT